CTGTAAAATGTACATTCTGTGTTGCTTTCAGGTCTCAATAGCACAGAAACTTCAATAGCGCTTTTCATTACTACCTCAGCGTCAAGCCTATCGTGCGACAAGTCATTACGGTAGCTTAGGGTTACGCCCATTCCTGCTACTGAAGGACGAGATGAGAGGTTTCAGCTGAAAAGGGGTCTTATTCATAAATCTTTTGCTTTGGACTGCATATAAAACTGTTGCGTCATCAAAGGGGTCTCAGTCTTTAAGACCCTTTTTAAGTTGCAACCCCTCATAAACATATTAATGGTTTATCACTCATACTGCGCTGTGATTGGCTACTCTACTAATGGTCTAATTTGCGCTAGACCACTCGCGGGAAAATCAATCTCATGAATAMATTCTTTTAAGGATATATCAATTTGCTTTCATTATTTGACCGATTATATGTTTATACTAAAACAATTAGAACTCGAGGTTGAGTGGGCTACGAGCAAATAGCCGATTGGGCCTCGCGAACTCGGCCTTAGAACAGCGAGGTCGCTGGCTGATTTTAAAAAGCAACTAAATGGATTCTTCTTATAAATCCTGTGCACACCCACGGCAAACTTGAAAAACAGTATTGACAAATACTTGTAAAATTTTTATTTTTACTTTTAATGTCATGTAGCTGAAGTTTTAACCGTGGTTAAATAAAGGTATACCATACCAGTCCACTCGACCTCGAGGTCTAATTGTTAAATAGAAACAAACGTTMTGCTGCTACGGAGTATAACTGATTAAGGACATGTTCTCTATGACTACAATTGTACATATTTGGCGTGTAACAGGTATTATTATTTGTTTTTATGGATACATCGCTATGAAGGCAGTCAACAGATCTCATCTCCACACCTGCACTCGTTTGCCCCAATATTCAACCACAAACACTCGACCATCTGGCGTAACAGCAACGTCATACGGACCATTAATTTGACCAAGACCTGCATCTTTACTACCAAAGGACCTTATGAACTGACCGTCTTGACTGAAGACTGGCACGCGTTGGTTATATAGATCACAGACAAGAAGCATTTCTTTACCAAACACAGCAAGTCCACGTAAACCATCAAACTGACCTTCTTTGTCGCCTTTCATTCCAAACGTGTACAGTACAACACCATTCTCGTCAAAAACATAAACAATGTTCACACCAAAGAACGATACAAAGTACTTATTGTTGTCATAAGCTAATGAGAAAGGTGACCCATGACCATCGTCAGGAACATCCAGTTTGATGTCGTGAAGGTGATCATAACTGTGCTTATCGAAGTGCTTGATAAATGTCTCTTTATTATTCTTATTGTAACACAAGCACGCAATGGTTTTATTGACTGTACACATTCTTCTCAATACCATTCCTTCAGGTAGTTTGAAAAGAGTTCTTTTGTAGGTACCATCGATGTCAAATACCTTGATACAGCCGCAATCACCTGGATTATCGGTGATGACTATTTTGTCCTCAATGAAGACTACTCCATATGGATTACTCAGCTGACCATCTCCTGATCCTGCACCACCAATGTCTCGCAAATACTCTCCATCAGCATTGAACAACACAACACGGACATTCTTTCTATAATCATTATTATTAACCACAGCAATGTCGCCACTGTAACTTACATCAAGTGCAATAGGACTGGACATTCTATCTTTGACATCAATTATCTTCAAGGGTTTAAATTGTGCTTTAGCATCAATTGTCTCAATGTTCCGTGGTGAGTTTGTTATTTGTTTTTCTCCAATACTCACYACAACTTTGTACAGTGAAGGTTTATCTGCTTTGTACTTCACTACAAATCTTCCAGTTTCAGTTTCAATCATTTCTTTCTCAACATCGTTGCCATCAACATCTTGGATTTGTACATCAATTATATCTTTCCAGGTATGGCATATATCCCCTTGTGAATTTCTTGTCAGGATCACAAATTCATTGAGAAAACCACATCTGACGTCACTTAGAGATTCGATAGAACAACGGGACGGATCTGTCACGCTTTCCACTACCTCGCCGAGTTTGAATTTTCGCATCAAGGGGATGACTTCCGGGTTTGGAATATAACGTACGTTGACTGGTTTGGTCGATAGAGCAGACTTGTTTTGCGCTGTAGCTTTACAAACTTCTAATAAATTTTCATAGCTTTCCAATATGAATTTCTCTAAGTTTTTCTCTTCCATTGTTTCACACTGATGCTTCAGTTCACTGACTTGTTGAATGTTGGCATTGATCTCCTTTTTCTCATATTCATTTGCTGTTGTTTGTTCTGCAAGAAGGCCGTCCAAGGTAGCAATCAAAGCGTTTTGACGGTCTTGTAGAATCTTCATTATAGCTTGTATGTCATTTTGTACTTTTGCCTTTGCTACGTCAACCTCGCTTTGAATCCTTGTCATATTTTCATTGGACTGTTCAAAATCATTCTTGTAACCGCTAAGCAGCTCATTGAGTCGATCCTTTTCTTTTCTGATAAGCTTTTTAGCATCTTCAGCTGCCTCCTCGATGCTTGCCTTGTCATGCCTGCTGTGTGATGTTGTACCACATTTTTGACAAATACACTTTCTGCACGTTATGCAGTAGTAATCGAGACGGCATTTCTGGTGAAATTTTTCCTTGCAAATGGCTTGATTGTTAATGTAGCTGTTGACATTTTGTGTCTTGAATTCACTCCACAGAGTTGCTTGATGGGTTTTGATCAATGGCTTTATTGTTTTGTGTTGGTTGATGCATTCATTACAAATCATTCCTTCACATTGAGCACAAAATCCAACCAATACGCTTCKTTTGTTGCAACTTACACACTCTGGAAGCTGCTGTTGGTTGTGTTCGTCAGTCTTGGTCTTCATGACGTTGAAAAGCTGAAGCAGCGAGTTGTACGTAAACGAAGAAGGAAGCTTCGAGATGTCGTCTTCTTCGACCTTGACTACTGCTCTACAAGTTGGACATCTCAGCCTCTTCATTTCTTTGTGACAAGCTTCGTTCCAGCTTTTGATGCATTTAAAGCAGAAAGTATGTAGACACGGCAGTGTCCTTGGATCTGTAAAGATATCGTTACAAATAGCACAAGTTAACTGTGCTTCCAAGTCGTCAGTTGCGCCTAAATACAGGAATGGCTCCGACATGTTTTTGGCCGAGAAAGGTCTGGAGCTGACTAATATATTCTAATCTGCCGGGTTTCCTGTGTCTTTGTACAAACAATGTATTGAATCGAAGTGAAGATTTCCTTGCTTGACGACTTGACATTTAGTTTTTAAGTGGTTCTCATCAGTTCCTATTTAAGCTAAGTTATAACAAGAGTTTTGTAACTTTATTGGATATATACAATCAAGCTTAGACTACTTTTTATTTGAGCTCAATTTAGGTTAATTAAGGTTGTATCACATTAAGCTTGAAAGTTATAATGGCCAATATCTGAAATGGTGTTTTATTGTGTGAGACAGCTTATCCGTTGGTTCATTTTGAATGTCAGTAGATAAACAGGAAACCCGGCAGATTAGAATATATTAGTCAGCTCCAGACCTTTCTCGGCCAAAAACATGTCGGAGCCATTCCTGTATTTAGGCGCAAATAACACCCGCCATGTTGCTCAGACAACCACGAGACTCTTCCTAAAACATCGCATGATACTGGTTGTCATGGAAATATTGACAGCTGAGATCAAACGTACATAACTGTGACGTAAAACTCAGACACTAAAATAATTTCATATAAAACCACAACAATTCAAAATAATTGACCTGAACGCTGTTTGTTTAGCTTTCCATTTTCAGTAGTTTTTTATTTGTTGCTTTTTTTTTAATAGCTTCAGTGTCATTGAGTTTGGGGTGCTTCATATTAAACATATCCTGTCGCATAAACTTGTGGCCCTCTATATATTCACTCACACTCACTACMTCAACATTCATTATTTTACTACACGACACTCCTCACAGCTAGTTTTTGACTGAGGGAGGAAAACCAGTGGACCTGGAGAAAAACCCTCGGAGCAAGGAAGAGAACCAGCTTACAAACTCAAATCACATATAGTCCCGGACMRKGAATCGAACCAGGACCACAGCGGTGATAGACCGGCGTTTTAACCGCTCGGCCATCCTTGCTCCCCATTTTTTATTCTCTGATTTTATGGAGTTTGTATGATTTATTCTTTATTAGGTAACTTCAACTTCGAAATTAAATGGTTTCCACTTGAGGTCTTGTATTTATAATCAACTTTCTTTCTCGGCGGTAAAACAGACAAAAAGCAAACAAAAAACAATAAGAAACAAAATGAATTCTAATCTGTATTTCTTTTTTTGTAGAATGATTTTACTTTGAGTACAAATCAGAAAATAGGATATTAGACTGCACAAATCAATTTCCATGTTTAGAGCGTGAAGTCGGGCTATCTATTTTGGAAAATTGAGAAAAAAGGATACTACACGCCACTGGTGCACGGATACGCGAATGAGCGAAAGATTTTCAACACGATCATAGGCTTCTCAACTATTTTGCTTGAGGGAAAAGAAAGAGCTGCACACACTTTTATTTATCTACGCGCGCTCTTAGAGAAGTGCGGTTTACCTGTGGTATTACGTCACGCATGATCCCGTGGGATAAAAAACTAGACTGCGGAAAGGTATGAAACACTGGTCACGTGATGGATCAATGTGTGAGACAGGTAGCTGGGTACAAATTCGGAAACCGAGCGGGCGAGAAATAGTCGAACAGTCTCCGAATGCAAGTCGGAGAATCGCGATCTAGCTGTTTTTGATTGAGTTTCAAACACGATATTTTTGTATTATAAGCTCTAAAAAAATTCTATTTATAAGAGTTTTTTGAATATACAAGTTAAGGAAATTAAATCCACACCAACTCCCTGGCAGTAACTATACTATGATACGATTGTATACAGACGTTCGAAGTGTGATAATTCGTATAGAGATCGTATTCCCTAACGGCCATTATGACCGTTACAAAGGAAGCCCAAAGGAGGAAAAAAGAGTTGCCTGGGGAGGAGGCTAAGTTAGTTGTTTAACCTCTTTTTTTACGGTGTTAAATTCATGTAGTTACACAACCGTTTTGGAGGAAATATATAAAGGACGAAGACAATAACTCCCATCATGCTTTGTTGCACAAAATGGCGTCGCTGCTCATCGCCTGCATTGGTTTATCATTATGACATTTTAAGCCAGATCGACAACATGTCTTTGTGTTGATGKTGTTGAGGGGTAGATGCAAAACATCGCTAGTTGTATTAATCCAAGCAGAACTCCTGTACCATTTGGTAACTGAAAGAAAATCATTTGTAGTCTTAGAAAACGCTTCTAAACAGAGCGCAATCCACAGATTTGCAGATTTGACAATAGAAAACAAAGGAATTTGTACTTGCATTTCGGTACATTTACTACTGTTTAATTACTAATGTTTTCCCAGCACTTTTTTTTTAACCCCATCTAATGCAATTTTCTTAGACATGCGAACACTACTGGTTAAATACTGACATTAGTCGGGCTAGCCTTAGACGGCTTGACTTAAATTTTACAGATATTAGGATATTTAAATTTGAAACTTTGACATTCTAAATGAAAGAGAAAGTATGGTGTTTTTTCGTTTTAAGAATTTGAACTTTCAGGCAACACATCGAATAGTTGGCTATTTCTAAAGGCAGCTTAAGGTTGCAGAGGTTTCTTTCCACTGTAAACATTGAATAAACAGGCAGCCCAGCAACAATAATAGCAACATGATGTGCAATTGATGATTCAAACAGTTGACTCAAATTCTTTTATTTTATAACATCAAAATCTACTTAAAAATTACAGTATGTCACATAAATTAGTCTTAATTGTGATTTTCTATACGGAGTATAACAACCTAGTATTTTGAGTGGAAAACTCTAAGAATATAAAATGGTTTTAAACGACAGCAATTTCCAATCAATAATGATATGATTGTCATACCGTCAGTTAGAGTGTAGCGTTTGTTTCAACTGTGATTTTGGTCCTTCTAAAATACAATAGAAACAAACGTTCTGCTGCTACGGAGGATAACTGATTGAGGACATGTTCATTATGACCAACTCTATGACTACAATTGTACATATTTTTAGCTACATTGACTTAAATTTTAAGCCACATAAATTAGAGACTAAATTGTGATTTTCCATACGGAGTATAATCACCTAGGTTGTTAAATGAAAAATTCAAAAAATAAAATGGTTCTAAACTAAAGCAATGTCCAATCAATAATGATATGATTCTCAACTGTCAATTGGAGTGCAGCTTTTTTTGTTTCACCTGTAATTTTAGTCCTTCTAAAATACAATAGAAACAAACGTTCTGCTGCTACGGAGGATAACTGATTTAGGACATGTTCTCTATGACTACAATTGTACATATTTGGTGTGCAACAGGTAGTATTATTTGTTTTTATGGGTACATCGCTATGAAGGCAGTCAACAGATCTCATCTCCACACCTGTATTCGTCTGTCCAAACATTCAAGCACAAATACTTGACCATGTGTAACAGCAACGTCATAAGGACGTTTCATTTGACCAAGACCTGAACCATAGCTACCTAAAGAACTTATGAACTGACCGTCTTGAGTAAAGACTTGCACGCGATGGTTATATAGATCACAGACAAGAAGCATTTCTCTACCAAACACAGCAAGTCCACGTACCTCATTAAACTGACCTTCTTTGTTGCCTTTCATTCCAAACGTGTACAGTAGAACACCATTCTCGTCAAAAACATAAACAATGTTCACACCAATAAACGACACAAAGTACTTATAGTTGTCAAAAGCTAATGACCAAGGATGACAATGATCATCATCAGGAACATCCAGTTTGATGTCGTAAAGGTGATCATAACTATATTTGTCAAAGAACTTTATAAATGTCTCTTTAGTATTCTTATTATAACACAAGCACGCGATGGTTTGATTCACTGTACACAGGCCTTGCAATATCATTCCTCTTGGTAGTTTCAAACGACTTCTATTGTAGGTACCATCGATGTCAAATACCTTGATACAGCCACAATCACCTAGATTATCGGTGATGACTATTTTTTCCTTATTGAAGATGACTCCAAATGGATCACTCAGCTGACCATCTCCTGATCCTGCACTACCAATGTCTCGCAAATACTCTCCATCAGCATTGAACAACACAACACGTACATCATCTTTATAATCATTAACCACAGCAATGTCGCCATAGTCACCAACATCAAGTGCAATAGGATTGGACATCCTGTCTTTGACATCAATTATCTTCAAGGGTTTAAATTCTGCTTTAGCAATTGTCTCAATATTCTGTGGCGAGTTTTTGACTTGTTTTCCTCCAATACTCACCACAACTTTGTATGGTGAGGGTTTCCCTGCTTTGTACTTCACTACAAATGTTCCAGTTTCAGTTTCAATCAGTCCTTTCTCAACATAGTCACCATCAACATCTTGGATTTGTACATCAATTATATCTTCCCTGGTATGGCATATATCCCCTTGTGAATTTCTTGTCACGATCACAAGTTCATTGATAAAACCACATCTGACGTCACTTAGAGATTCGATAGAACAACGGGACGGATCTGTCACGGTTTCCACTACCTCCCCGAGTTTCAAATTTCGCATCAAGGGGATGACTTCCGGGTTTGGAATATAACATGTGGTT